GGGCTGGGCTCCTAGACTGCCCTCCTGGTTATTCTAATATTTTTTTACTTTGTACAAATATACTAACTATCGATGGTTGTATTTTTCCGTCTTATATCATCTTTATAAATAAATGATAGAAATGTTTAAGCTTTTTTTGAATTAAGCTGTAGGTGTAAACCAAACTTTAATGAGTGATCAAGCATTCCTTCCTTACTGCAAAATGCCGACATGTACTTCTGTATACAGGGCCGTCTTTAATTCTGATTGGACCCTGGGCAAGCATTAACTTGGGCCCCCTGACTAAATATAGATACACACAAATACAAAACCTGACACACATGCAGATACACACTGACCGCATATAGATACACACAAGAACATACAGATACACACAGACTACATATAGAACACTGACACACAGATAGACACAAACACAGATACACAACCTGACACACATGCAGATACACAGATACAAACACTGATACATGCAGATACAAAGGTACACACACTGACTACATATAGATACACCGACACACACAAACTGACACACATACAGACACACAGATACACAGATACACAACCTGACACACATGCAGATATACATATACAAACACAGACACATACAGATACACACTGACTATATATAGATACACACACAAACACAAACGGACAACATACAGATACAAAGGCACATTCTGACAGACGTACTGACACAGAGACACACACAGACAGCCATACTGAAACACACATACACACAGACATACAGAACCACATGGACACTGACAGACTCACACATAGACATACTGACACATGGACAGACATACAGACATTATGGCACACATACACACAGACAGACATACTGAAACCCACATACACACAGACACTGACAGACGTACACACATACAGACATTTTGACACTCACAGACAGCCATACTGAAACACACTTACACACAGACACTGACAGACGTACACACATACAGACATTTTGACACTCACAGACAGCCATACTGAAACACACATACACACATATATACTGAACCACACAGACACTGACCGACTCACACACACACAGACATACTGACACACTGACAGACATACTGGCACATATACACACAGACGGACATACTGAAACACACATACACACAGACACTGACAGACATATTGACAAACACAGACATACAGAACCACACATACACTGACAGACTCACACACACAGACATACTGACACACTGACAGACAGACATACATACATACTCACACACACACACACACACACACACAGACACTCATGCAAAATTTGATAACCACCCTCCAGTTTCTTACCTTTTCCTGGAGGGTGGCTTCCCTGGGGTCCAGTGGGCTGGCTGGGGTGGCTGGAAGTTAAGCTCTCCCGGCCTGGCCCCCTCCGGAACAGCTCCTTCCTCCCGCACGGCTCTTGTTTCTGTGGGAGCTGGGGGGCCCAAGACAGCTGCTCCTTTTGCCCTCTGCCCGCAAACTATGGGCATCGGGTGGCCCATGTACTTAGGGCCACCCGGTGGGCCTATGTCAGCAGGGGCCCGGTCGGGCGCTGTGGCGCTTTAACAGCGCGACCGGACCCTTGCTTTTTCGGCAGGGTGGTTATCAAATTTTGCATGAGTGTCTGTGTGTGTGTGTGTGTGTGTGTGAGTATGTATGTATGTCTGTCTGTCAGTGTGTCAGTATGTCTGTGTGTGTGAGTCTGTCAGTGTATGTGTGTGTGTGTGTGTGTGTGAGTATGTATGTATGTCTGTCTGTCAGTGTGTCAGTATGTCTGTGTGTGTGAGTCTGTCAGTGTATGTGTGGTTCTGTATGTCTGTGTTTGTCAATATGTCTGTCAGTGTCTGTGTGTATGTGTGTTTCAGTATGTCCGTCTGTGTGTATATGTGCCAGTATGTCTGTCAGTGTGTCAGTATGTCTGTGTGTGTGTGAGTCGGTCAGTGTCTGTGTGGTTCAGTATGTATGTGTGTATGTGTGTTTCAGTATGGCTGTCTGTGAGTGTCAAAATGTCTGTATGTGTGTACGTCTGTCAGTGTCTGTGTGTATGTGTGTTTCAGTATGGCTGTCTGTGAGTGTCAAAATGTCTGTATGTGTGTACGTCTGTCAGTGTCTGTGTGTTTCAGTATGTCTGTCTGTGTGTATGTGTGCCATAATGTCTGTATGTCTGTCAGTGTGTCAGTATGTCTATGTGTGAGTCTGTCAGTGTCCATGTGGTTCTGTATGTCTGTGTGTATGGGTGTTTCAGTATGGCTGTCTGTGTGTGTCTCTGTGTCAGTACGTCTGTCAGAATGTGCCTTTGTATCTGTATGTTGTCCGTTTGTGTTTATGTGTGTATCTATATATAGTCAGTGTGTATCTGTATGTGTCCGTGTTTGTATATGTATATCTGCATGTGTGTCAGGTTGTGTATCTGTGTATCTGTGTGTCTGTATGTGTGTCAGTGTGTGTGTCGGTGTATCTATATGTAGTCAGTGTGTGTACCTTTGTATCTGCATGTATCAGTGTTTGTATCTGTGTATCTGCATGTTTGTCAGGTTGTGTATCTGTGTTTGTGTCTATCTGTGTGTCAGTGTTCTATATGTAGTCTGTGTGTATCTGTATGTTCTTGTGTGTATCTATATGTGGTCAGTGTGTATCTGCATGTGTGTCAGGTTTTGTATTTGTGTGTATCTATATGTAGTCAGGGGGCCCAAGTTAATGCTTGCCCAGGGTCCAATCAGAATTAAAGACTGCCCTGCCTATGTTGTCTCGCTCCTCGTCATCCACCGCCTCGTCTCCGTGATGTGTGTTACACTAATATTTGAGTTGTGTAATTTTTAAAATCCACTCATGCCTAGAGTAATGTGTATAGTCTATACCAGTGGTTCCCAAACTTTTTAGGTTTAAGGCACCCTTAATATTTTAATATTTTTCCAAGGTGCCCCAAGTCAGAAAAATGTTTAGGTTATATATCTGTACAGCGCGGTGGCATATACTGGGCCCCTGTTTGGCAGAAATGTTTGCCATTCAAGCGCAGATCCAGAACCTAATCTTGGGAGGTGCACTGGTGGAGAATTTAAAGAAACAATCCAGGCACAATAACCACTACAGTACTTTGTAGTGGTTATGGTGACAGTAGTGCTGTACTGCCCTCCCAGGGTAAGTAGTCATACTGTTTATGAACAGTTTGACAACTTACCTGGGATCTGCCGGGATAGGGGCTGTAGAATGGGATAGAGGCAGTAGTGTGTGTGAGGGTGCAATATGTGTGTGTGAGAGTGGTGGAGTGTGTTTGTGATGGGTGCAGTGTGTGTGAAAGGTTCAGTGTCTGTGTATGTGGGGCAGCTTGTGCATGAGGGATACAGTGTTTGTGGGAGGGCAGTGTGTGTATGGGGGGGTCAATTGTATGTATGGGGAGGCAATTGTGTGTATGGGGGTTATTGTGTGTATGGGGGGCAGTGTGTAAATGGGGGTAATTGTGTCTGTGTGGTGGCAGTGAGTGTGTATGGGGGCAATTGTGTGTATGGGGGGTAATGTCTGTGTATTGGGGTAATGTGTTTGTGTATGGGGCAGTGTGTGTATGGGGGAGTTATTGTGTGGTGTGAGGTGTGTGGGGGTGGGAGGGCAAATTCATGTATATATAATTTTTTTTTTTTTTATTAAAAATAATACTTTTCATATCTCCCCCTCCCTGCTTACCTTTGCCTGGGGTGGTGGACATGTCCTGCAATCCCTGGTGGTCCAGTGGTGAGAGTTCCTGAGGCTGCTAGAGTTCACTCTTGCAAGATTCGGAGCGTTGCCATGGTAACTGCGGCATGGCACATAGCTTGCGTAAAAGAGAACCCGGCTGTGCTTCAGGTTAGAGATCTCCCTCCCCTGCCGGCTGCCAGCATTACACTGCTAACAGTCTGGAGAGGAAGATCTCTGATCTCCCCTCGGGTCCTGCAGAGCCGGCAGGGGAGAGGAATGCACAGTTCCCGGTGCTATGATAATAGCACCGGGAAAATATCTTGCGGCTCCCCTGTGTGCCCAGGGGCTCTGCGGCACACAGTTTGGGAACCGCTGGACTATACACTTTACAGAATGAATCAATCCATCGGGGATTTAACTGTGAAGTTGTTTGTGCCCACCAAAGCACATTTATTAGCTACCAGCAAAGGTGTGACGATTCCAATTTACAGTAGACTAATTAGCTTTAACAGGTTGATTTTTGGTAGCTACATTTTGTAAAGATTATTTATTTATTTTTATTGTGCTCTCAGATCACTAATAGATCTACAATATTTATGCCCAATTCATGTCATTATTCTGAATGAAGCTTTGTACATAAACTCACATAGGTGCACCTGAAGAATTCTTTTGATTTCCAGTACAACACATGAATAGTACTATAGTTACATTTATTTGCATGCTATGCTTTGTCTGTGCCAGAACAGTCAATCTAACAATGACAATTTGAAATAAGAACTTAATAAACAAAAACAACAACAATAACAAAAAACTGCAAATATACCTATGTTGTGGGTTTAGAACAAATCGCACGTGTGACCGTTCCGCATTGATGGAATAATCTTTACATGTAATTCTAAATGCCAAAAATAATAACAATAATAATAATTGTTTATTTACTAAAAAAAAAAAAAAAAAAATTCTGCTAGCTTTATTTTTGATATTATTATTATTATTAAAGCGCCAACAAATTCCTCAGTGCTGTTTAATGAGAAGAATATATCACAAATGTCAATTGCTGCCTCTAAATGTGGTGCTATGAGCTGGCACATTACAGATGTGAAGATAGAAAGTAATAGAGGGAGATACCACCTGGGCTGCACTAACCACAAACCAAGTAAGTACCTGCTGTTAGAATTAACACCAAGGGTTCTATTGTGAAGGCAGAGGGCAGCAACATTCCATGAGTGATGCAGTCACGTTCGCATTCCACTCCGGGCTGCTAGATGGCGCGCCTCGCTGTTTAGCGCATGCTGAGTCCAAGCCTTCCACGGCTCATTCTATCTCCCATGTCAACCGTGAGAAGCTTCCAAACTGTCAGTACGGCCAGAGCTGCGGGCCGTGTGGGGAGGACGGGACCGCTGTGTCGGTGAACGAGCAGGAATGGACAGCTCTCCCCCCTCTCCGACTCCACATTTGGACCTGGCTAACTTCGAGGACGGCCGGGGCAGCCGCTACGTGCTAACTAGCCCCCGCTCCCTGGAGGCCTGCGCCCGGCTGGGGATCAGGCCTGTGGATCTGCTGCCCAAATCCCTGCAGGAGCTGCTGGATGAGTACCCGGGGGCCTCGGTGAGGGCGGTGGAGGATATGTACCAAGCCACCGAGAAAGATCGACGCTCCAGGCTGAGGAGGTGCAGAGACCTGAGGCAGGAGCTCATGGAGAGAGAACAGGTGGAGAGGGTCCACAAAGATGCTGGTGACCCAGTTCCCCAGGAAGGCAGATCCCAGCTCCAGGCCTCCTCCACTGACTGGTGGGATCACAGGCCTAGGAAACTGTATCAGCAGGGAAAAGGAGAAGGGCATACAAGCCTCATGAGGTCCCTGAGCCTTGGAGATCTGAGTCTTGGAGACCTGTCCCACCCAGAGGTGCATGTCAAAAAGGTAGCTAAGAAGTTTGAAAGGGAATCCAGGGTGGTCGTTTCTGAGAGAGATAAGAAGATTGCAGCCCTGATGATACTGAAACACCAAGAAGAGGAGCAGGCCAAGAAAAGAAAGCTGGTGGCAGAACAAGCCTGGGAGGATGTGAAGTACCAAGAAACGAGTTTTAAGAAGTTGCTGCACCATTATGAAAAGCTGGACGGTGAAATGACAAATTTAGACAAGAGCGTGAGTAAAAGCTGCAAAGGGGGCATGTATCTGGATGGGCTCGCAACGATGAGGATGTACAGCAATAGGGCAAGGAAGAAGCTGGCCACAGATCAGTTTCGTCCAGGCTTGGTAAAAGCCAAGCCTTCAGGGGGACAGGATAACGTTCTTCCTGAAGAAAAGGTCATTCAAGTCGTCAAAGCCAAAATGGTGAGAGAATTGCAAAATAAAAAGAATATCCAGGTAAAAAATCAGTATGAGATGTTGCGACACTCCCAGCGGAAAGAGATGGTGGATAGTCAAGCGAAAGTAGAAGAACTCTTCAAGAAAATGAGCATCCAGCAGAAAGAGCAAAAGGCTCAGGAGCTTCATGAGTTGATACTTAAAGAGAGAAACCAGGGACTGAAAGAAAAAGCAGCCAGAGAGGATGAACAGATACTAATGGCAAAGATCAGGGCTGAGCAGCAACAAAAAGAGCAGATGAAACACAAAAAGATTCTTGTTCAACAAAAGGACCAGAAGATCCAGCAAGCTATAGATTCACAGGAAAAGAACATTCAGTCCAAAGCTGAAAGGACAAGAGTATGGAACACGATAAAACAGAGGAATCACCAGCTTTTAAAGCAAAAACGAGAAGAAGAAGAGGAAAACCACCGAAAAATGGTAGAAAAGATAATAAAATTAAAAGATAGGAAGAGTGACCAGTTAATTAGAGAAAGAGAAGCCACAGTCGAGGAAGGGAAGAAAATAGCCAGGGCCTCATTTCATATGAGAGATCAAATTAGACAGAAAACGAGAAATAGAACCTTTGACCAAATGGTGCTCGATGCCCAGCTTAATGCCAGTTTGAAATTTACTCCATAAGTGAAATATGATATCCAGTTTACATTGTGCCATTAAGATTCAGACCATGACAATATTTGTTATATCAAATCTTTTTATGCCATGATAGAAGTTGGTTTTAACAGTATGACGTTTTAGGGTTATACACTACATTCTGAATTGTCTGGAAATTAACCAGGGAAATGTACATTTAAGCCAAATAACTGAACTAGAAACATAGTTGACTTAAATATTTTTTCAGTTCAGCTAATTTAGCCTAGCACTTGCATTTTCTTGATGAATTCCCAATAATACCCAGTTTAGTTAACGACCATATATGAGTGTAAGAATGATGGACAGTTCATTCTAGCTGTAGTTGTGCATTCATCTCACTCTCAAATGGTAATGTGAAGTTCTTTCTGTTTAACACCATAAAATGTGTTTATTAGTGTGTTTTTACAGTAACCATGGTGACCAGAAGAAATGGAGCCTACATAGTTCAATTGAAAAAGTATTCTCAGATGATCCCTGCAGGACTTTCTAATTACATATCCTATACTAAACACCAGTATGAGTATGAGGTCATAGGAAGGCCTCCTGATGTGCACTGTACCTTACTCAGAATGCCCATTTTTAAATTGGTACAATATCTCATGCTGATAGTGAATATATATTCATAAAATAAATATAAGAAAAATATTTATAAAACCAGTATATATGTGTGTGTGTGTGTGTGTACAGAGAATTCCAGTAAACAGTATTACCTAATCAACCATAACTACCCCTTACAGCCATGATTACAGACTCCTCAATATCTCTATCTTTGTATTCCACCATGAATAATATTTGAACATGTTTGATCTTTAAATGGAACAGCAATTTAAATTTCTCCCTTAACCATTGGGTTTATGATAGCCATAGTAATTAATATACCGTTAATTTAATTTTAATCTATATGCTACTATTTAAGATGTAGGAGTTGACAACGTTAAGACTACATTAAATGATTTGCTTTAAAAATTATTACTTTTAAATAGCAATGTGAAACTGTCTCATCATTGCTATTATATTGATACAATTGTATCGCCACATCAGAAAAATATTTTAGCGGCATTATAATGCCATTTATAATAAAGGGCATTGTTATAGCCGTGAATACACAACTGTAGGTGGTGTTGTAATAACAAGGTATATAGCCCTATACCCTAAGATGCAGGTTTAGGAATGGTTTGAAGGATTAGACTTAGGGGGTACCCGCCTTCAAGAATTATGGGAGTTACACCACATCATCTTGAAGATAGTTACCCTCTATCGCTAATTTTCTGTTAACCCTAGTCCCCCCCCCCACTTTTACTGCACACACCACCCAACCCAAATCTTACCTTAACCTCGTTATAAATGTCATCATTGTTATAGGCATTGTAATGCTGCTGCCTTATTATGGGCACAGCATCATTACTGGTTTTCTATAGATATGCTATTCAAAGCTCTTCATTTAGACGGCATCATACTGGTTTAAATGACCTCATTTTGATTTATTTAAAAAAAGACACTATAAACACCAAAACAACTTTAGCCAAATGAAGCTGTTTTGGTGTATAGATTATGCCCCTGCAATCTAACTGCTTAAAGGGAAACTCCAGTGCTAGGAAGACAATCTGTTTTCCTGGCACTGCACGTACCCTCTCCCTCCAACCTCCCATCCCAGGTAGCTGAAGGGGTGAAAACCCCTTCAGGTCACTTACCTGAGACCCTGCCGATGACCCTCGGCAGTGGTTTCGGGTTGGCGTCGCTCCTCCCAGTAATTACGTCAGCCGGTGGGCGAGACTGATTCCGTGCACGCGCATTAGGTCTCCCCATAGGAAAGCATTGAAAAAGATTTTCAATGCTTTCCTATGGGGAATTGAGCGACGCTGGAGGTCCTCTTTGTTATGAATCAGGAAGTGCCCTCTAGTGGCTGTCTAATAGACAGCCACTAGAGGTGGAGTTAACCCTGCAATGTAATTATTGCAGTTTATAAAAAACTGCAATAATTACACTTGCAGGGTTAAGAGTAGTGGGAGTTGGCACCCAGACCACTCCAATGGGCAGACGTGGTCTGGGTGCCTGGAGTGTCCCTTTAATTCTGTGACATGTAGGAATTAGTTTGTTTTGTGAATTCTGCCCTAACCACACCCTCAGAGCATGCTCTGTACACCAAAACCACTTAACTAAGCTAAAGTTGTTTTGGTGCTTAGAGTGTCCCTCCAAGGTTATAGTAGTATTGTATGTTTGTACAGAAATATGGTGCCAACATAAAATGGTTTTTTTTTATGTATTTTTTTTTAAATTGTATGATCTATTCCTTGTCTCTTTGGTAATGACTAATATAGTTCTAGTGTTAATTATTGAACAGAATAGCGTAAAGTATTTATATTTCTAACAGACGAAATGCTGCTGGGAGATATTTGTTTTGTTTGGACTGTCTAGAGCTGCCCTTTAAATGAACACCCAAGCACCATAACCACTCTAGTACTTTGTAGTGGTTATAATGCTTGGAATACCCAGTGCCCCCCCTCAATGTAAGTTTTAAGCACGGTTTGACCTCTTACCTGAGGGATGGTGGTTCTTCCCGCCTCCATGACAGCCTTCAAGACTTCTTGAACCTGTTTGTGAGAGTTAAGCCTGTCAGTGCTCTCAGTCATGAGCTCATCCTGCACTGCAGCACTTAGCTCAGGAGAGTTAACTCAAGCTCCAGCTCTCTGATGGAAGTAGTGGAGGCGGGGAGCAGCACCAGAGGAACCCAGGTAAGAGCGCAGCACTGGTTATGATGCTTGGAATGTTCCTTTAACCATCGGTGTATCCACGTAACACTAAACAAAGGTTTCTTATATCTTAACTGGGATATGGAGCTGTGCCCCTAACCATTTTATTAAAAACGGTGCTATTATGACAATGGCAGTACAATGACCCTATGTACTACTAAATACACATTACACCTGCTCTATAATGACAATCAGCATTTTGGCAGCACCATTAAAAGGATACCTAATTTAATTATTGACACATATATCCCAGCAGTCCTTATTTGATTTACATAAGGAGAGTTAATGTTATTTATGAACAGTGATATTTGGATATTAAAATAGTTTTACATTAGAAGTGTTTATATTACTAATGGAACTAAATGCTACAAATGTATTTATTTGATATGTTTTCCAAGTACTGCTGTTTTCGTTTTAATGCACAGTAAATCATAGTTTGTGTTGTTTTATTTGTGGTTGTGTACATCTTGTAACTTCTGCAAGGTTTGTTCGATGTTGTCTGTACATATTGCAAAATTACATATTTTTGTCACTGAACTTTAGTCTTGTCTCATTCCTTTTTTCTGAGTACTGCTGGGGGGGGGGGTATACAGTGCAGTCTGAAGTGTCTAAACTTGGCACTGCAGATGTTTGTGAATTACGTTTCTTATGGTGCATTTAATTGCTGGATAATACACTTTAGGATAGCTGAGCATCATGGGAAATGTAGTTCAGAAACATCTGCAGTGTCAATGTCAACAATAAATGCATGGGATGAGAAAGTGGGCATTACAGTGATGGACAGTGATTGTAGCTTGTTATATACTGTAATGGACAGGTAAAATGCCAATTTGAGGAATGCATTGTACACCGTGGATGACCTATTGTTTCCTTTTACTGTTCTAAACAGGAAATCTCAGACCTTTGAGCAGTTCTATTCTTGAAATATCACCAAGGAAGCTAATCTTAAAGGTGAATAATTGTCATCAAACTGCTTCTGTAGTATAGTTGAGCAGCTTTATTAAAGGAACACTATAGCTGTAATATAACTTTGGAGCACCTAGGCTCCCCTGTCACCAATGTTAAAGTTGAGTTTACTCACCTTTATTCCAGTGCTGCGAGGCGCTGGCCCCACCCCAGCCCGACTCCTTGGCTGAGATCATCAAAATTGATGATCTCAGCCAATCAAATGCTTTCCCATAGAAAAACATTGGGAGGCTATTGCACGTATGATCAAACTGCACTGGCCAATCAGCATCTCCTCGTTGAATCAGTGCATCTCTATGGGGAATGTTCAGCGTCTTCATGCTGCACTGACCCAGGAAGCACCAATAGTGGCCATCAGAGTGACTGCCACTGGAGGTGTCCCTAGGCAGCAATTTCTCTGAGAAGACAGTGTTTACATTAAAATGCCTGCAGGGAATGACTATAGACACCAGAACCACTACATTAAGCTGTAGTTATTCTGGTGGCTATAGTGTCCCTTTTAAGGGGAAACTGTCACTTCTCTGGAAATTATACCATTGATGAAACCTATAACATTTAATGGTTTCATGAGATACTCTCTTTTAAAATTATATTAAAGATTTGGCAAATTACTCCGCCAACCAGTTCAGTCCAGGCACAATCAGGGCACACACTGCAAATGAAGAGAATTATTATTTTATTCTGCTGCATTTGTGTTCTTTAATCTCACTGCTGTGTGCAAAAGGACAGAACTTTTGACAATGATGGATAGAGAGGTGTGGATTTTGACATTTAATTTTAGTTTTCACATCTTGTTAAATTTAGGGGATAAGTAATCATAATATTAAAAATCTTGGCATGTGACTTCCCCTTTAAAATATATTTTTATTTTTCCTGCTCTTGGCAGGGTTTTCCTCACATGGTTTCGGTATAACTTGTTCATAGGAAGCTAGGAGAGAACCTCTATAGGTCACGTAAAAGGAGGATAGTGTAAGAATTCATATATATTTTTCACCTATGACATCACAGAGTAGGAAGGTATTGCTAAGCTGCTTAATTGATTGGAAAAGAGACAGCAAAGGGAGTTCCTTGCTCCATTAGCATTATGGTACATTCGTATACTAATTTAATTTTTCACAGGAAAGCTTCAGGCACTGGACATGTTGTGGACTGGAACTCCCATCATCATAATTCAGTGTTTTGGTGGATCCCATATTAAATGCTGACACTTTGACATCGCCATCAGTAGATATACGGTTGTATCACATATCAATTGGAGGAATGGACACTTTTTTACTTTTTGATGAGAAATTCACAGACAAGGTTATCCATTCCACCAAGGTGTGAATTTATAATGAATTTCAAAGTTTAGGCCAAAATAGCCGAAATAAACACATAGCTAAAGAATTTTTCCAGTTTGATTATTTTAGCCTAAAAATGTTTCTTTCTGTTCATCACAGTTCAGTTTTCAGTAAATAACAATGTCGGTCCTGCGCTTAGTTTTTTCCTGTATATCCGTATCAGTTAAGATATACATTAATGCACAAACCACCAGAAATTTTTTTGTATTTACAAAGTGCACGGTGACCTTTTTACAGGTTAATACGAGGCTCTTGCACCATTACCAAGTTGTAGTGTGTTATATCGCATTTCAATGTGACCTACTTACTTTAAATACAACAAGAGAACAGCCTGTGCAGCTGCTTTCTTGGCAAGATAGGTTTATTTGGAAATGTGAAAAACGCTTTTATTCACCAAAAGCCAACTGCAGTTGGATGAAAAAGAGCTCATACAATATGCTGAACATTGAATTGTTAACCCAAGTAGCTTTGGAACCATACCTTTTTGTTCCCCCTCCTTCCAAGACAAGAAAGTGTACGCTAATCTCTGTTATAAGCTTTTCTTTTCCTCCAACCAACAATTTACTAAGCTTCCTGTTATGTGTTACAAATTAAATCTGGTACGCACAATATAAAGCTTATTAAGGGTTCTGTTTTTTGGTTTTTTTTTAACTTTCTGCAATCAACAACCACCTACATATTTTATTATTTCATAAAGTTATATACTGTACCTTTAAAAAGTATTTTTTTCCCTTTTCTGCTTTCCTCTATTTTTGCCTATTTAGCATGTTGAATTGATCCATATCTTAATATAAAATACAAGACAAAGAGAACTATGGTAAACACAAAACACAGTTTTTACATTTTAGTTTTATTTATTTGGGGGAAAATGTTATCCAAAACCAACTGAAACTCGGTTTTACAGTAATTGCTCCTTTGTTACTCTATGTGCACCTTAAAGGAACCCTCCAGTCACCATAACCACTACAGCCTGCTTGAAGATGAATAATTGTCATCATGCAGGTTCTGTTGTATTGTCTTCCCATCCAGCTGGAAGCTCCTGCCATTATGGTAAGCCTTGAATGTGCAGGGTTGTGCACACTGGCTCATCAGATGAGCGTGGACTTACACGACCAGGTATAACTCAGTGGAGGTAGATGGAAGCTCCTTGCAAGATCTATTGGCAGCAGTGGGTGCGAAGCAGGTGCCCATTGTTAAGCAGTATGACTACTTATTTTGGGAGGGAACCCCTGGCACCATAACCACTCTGGGCTATTATTATTATTGCTATTTTGCTATTTATGGCTATAATGGTTAAGGTAGTTTAGAGTGTTGCTTTAATCTGCAGATAGAGTACCTAAGGGGCAATTACTTTCTAACTTAGCTTCAGGTGATTTTAATAACTTTTTTTTCACAGACTGGGCTGGTAGTAATTAAGCCAGTGGAACATAAACATTACTTATAAGGAAACTTACCATCAATGTAAAGTAGTATATCTGGTCTCAAACAACAGCAAACTATATTTCGATTCAAATTAATTCTTAATGATATGAGAAATTTGTTGACATATATCTGTTTCGAAAGGGGTACAAAATTAGCCCCTGAGACTTAAGCAAACCAAAGAAAAAGCCACAATCTCCACATGAAGACTGGTGAATCTTCTTAGGGGTGACCATCCTATTATAATTCCTCCATGGTCATAGCAATAACACATCCGGGAAGTGACAATAAACACCCATTAGAACATTCCTCCTTAGTCTTAACTATGGTCTCATATTTCAAAAAAAGCTAATTGAAGAGCCCCATGCTTGTAGGGAGAATGTTTCATGGACTGTCAAATGTAGACTGTTCATATATGACATAAAAGAAACAGAGCATTTCACAATATGAACATCATACCAACAGTCAAACGTGCTACTGGTGGTGTAATGATGGGCATGTTTTCTGCCTCGATCTAGAACAACTGCTGTCTTTTACGGAATTTTCTCATCTATAAAATTCTGAAGGAGAATGTCTATCAGTCCATGACCTGAAGGATAATTGTTTATGCGCAAGGGCAATGATTCAAAACACAAAAGTACGTCTACGTCTGAATGATGCAAAAGAAACAAAAATAAGGTTTTGCAAATGCTTTGTAAAAATCATGACCTAAACCATTTTCCGAAGCCCAGGCATGAAAACCATCTGTCATATTAAACTCACTATTCCACAGCCCAAGGGATGGAGGTTGTAGAGGGTGATTAATCCCCTGCCCACTGCTGATGAATAAGAGTACTTTTTTAATCTATATTGTTTCACACAATCCAGGGAATTTGGGAAAGGTCCCCCCAGATATTAAACTATAAACTCCATCCTACAGCCCAGGCTATGGGGTTAGAGGGGACGGACGATGTGACTGCCAAGCTTCTGCTATTTCCTATGGGTGAAGAAAATAGGATGGACCCATTGGCTGGTCTCCCTAATTTTTATAAATCTTTATTTTTGTTGTGCATGTTATACATAGCAGTAACATACGCCACTACAGCGTGTCTAAGAATGTACTTAAGTGGAACAGTGGCATGAGGAATTGCACATTTTTGTATAATTGTAACCATCATCAGCTTGGCTAAACAGTGAAGTCATTAATATACAATGAAAAGGTAGCTTATTTTAACAATCAGATAACTGCAATTTTTATAGGTTGTCTAACAAGTTTAGGCATACGATTTTGTCTATAACGCTCAATGGCTTATAATTGCGTGGAAACACATCATGCATTTTTGTGACAGGATTGAGCAACACAGCTTTTTCTCATGAGTAAACAGGATAATGCTATGTAAGCCATGAGCTGGATGAGTATGAGTAGCAATGAAATATTGTGTATATTGGCATGCTTTGATAACCAAAAACAAACAAACCAGATTATAATAGATTGTCAACAAAATTATTAACAGGGTTAGTAACCACCGGCTAGGGACTTATGAGGCACTTTGATGAGCTGACTGTGCATCTCTACGGCTGAAATAAATTAGACCGTGGGTATGTGTACAAAGTCCCGCACCGGCCTTGGCTTCAGGTACTCGTAGGCCGGTCCTCCCGACTTCAACCCATGCCACTGGTGTGCTGCAAAGGGCTGTTCAGCGTGCTGCCTGGGGTTTCTTGGTGGGGTCTGGTAGCTTGGTGTGGACCGCAGCGTCGGAACTTGGCTCTGGCTTCTGTGCTAATTAGTATAGCAGTGTAGCATGTTGTAGCACATGGTAGAGAGT